GTATGAATGAATTAAAAAAACATACTCATTTAAACATAAAGACAAGAGATTGATTTAAATAACCTCATTCTATGTTGTACAATGTTTCATTTCTAGAAATGTATTATAGGATTTCATTGCAAAAATTATATTCATTTATGATTGTATAATTTCATAGATATTAAAACTAATGGAAAGTGAGAATTGTTTGCCAAATTATTTTCTCACGTTTTATATCAGGTTGTTTAGAATGATTCTAAAAACAAATTGATTAATTATGATAATAATATTAATAATATCTAAGAGTAAATCTATAAACTCAGTTTTGATGTTGACAGGAAACAATGGACTCGGGTTTCGTGCTACTTGGCAGTCGTTAGCAAGGTGCACCTGTAATCTTGAGGGAACTGGTGCCCCTTGGCATATTCGATCTCGTATCACCCAGCTTCATAGTCACAGACGTTACCACTGAGCTATCCGAGCTGTGACCGACCTCTTGTAGGACTGAGATGTAATCACAATTGATTGATCACTGAGTGGTGATCAATGTCATGTGTGTCAAGTCCTTATGTAGTGCAGATCAAATGCTATCGACCATGGCCACCAGTCTATGTGACTTGGTATTTAGTAATATTCATTGTATAAAATTCAGGGTTATTATCCAGAACCACAAATCAAATTGATATAATTTATTTTTAATTTACAAATTAAAGTAATTTAAAATAATCAAATGGTTGGGGACCGCGAGATGATAGCAACCGATGGTTAGAGACCCTGAATGACATGGCTCAAAATCGTTTGCAATGGCGCAGAAACTTACACTATTTGTGTTCTACCAAATTTTGATCTCCTTATTCCTCCTTGTCCTTTTTCTCTTTCCAAATTTATTTCACTGTATTATACTCTTTAAATAACATCTTCAAACTCAATCTTTCCGATTACTGCTTATACTCTTACTACCATTACCACTACGGGATTTGAATCGACCACTGCATCTCTGTGCTAATGTGGTGTGGCAACTCGAACTGATGTACGTACGTACGAAGTTCTACGTTGTTACTGACTGATTGACTGACATATTAGACTTCATTTTCAGAATTGCACTATAAATGATGAGAGTATTGTCTTTTTACAGTACTAAAGATATTTTTATTATGATGTACAGGTTACATAACACTTCCTATAACTAGATTAGATTAGTTAATCATTAAATCTTTTTTAAGTTAGGATCGGCTAATGATTATCACTTATAATGTGCTAATATGCATTTAATTGAAGTTAATCAACATAATACTAGGAACGAAATATAGGATCAAATATTAAAAAGGAATCTGAATATATTAAATTGTGTGGTTATAATCAGATGTAGGGTTGTGGAGACTGTTACGTTTCACTAAAATCGTAAACTGATCAATGTTAGGTCACCATTGAAAACATATAAACTCTGGGTGGCTGTTTCGTCGCAGTATGTGTTACCTAGGTCGTGCGTATGCACAACCATGCATGAAAGAATCGAACCCAAAACCTTCAGTCTTATTCATGAACGTTTAACCTGTAGACCATCGAACAGGGATCCACCGGTGTTAATGCCTTACTTCAATGAATTCGTAAAATGACACGATTATCTTCCGTTGACTTCATTCGGTAAATGCCTTTCACGCGACACGGTTGAACTCCACTGGTCACTGCTTCTCGACAGAACTCCAAGAATTCCGTTTCAAAGCTAGTCACTAGTAAGAACATTTTGATTGTCAGTTTATGGTTGTAGAGATGGTTGAATTTCACTGAAATCATGAAGATTGTGGCGGAATATCGTGGATTGATTGAAGTTACCCATTCACACCGTTGAATCGCGACCCAGGTCAAGCGTTCGTGAGCGAGATCAATGGTCCTCTGTTAGATTCTGCATGCAAGGTCGTAAATAGGCGCTGTTGAGGAGTCATGTACTAGGACGAAACGGCTGTTCTGTATTTCCAAGTTTTCAGTGGTGGTCTAACATTGATCGGTTCATGATTTCAGTGTGTGGTTATTATTTCGTTCATGATTGTAATAATAGATATTTAAGTTATTCAAGAGATCCTTTAAACTTTATTTCACAAGAATATGTATTTACTCCTTGATTCATTTATTTTATTTCATATGCTTATTCATTTTTATCTTCACCTTTAACATCATTCATTCATTCTCCTTAGTACGTTGCATAGAATGATAAATTAACAATAATAACATCCTATTAACTAGATAGATATTTTATTAAACAATCCCTCGTAGAATGTGATTGATTGATAAACTTATTTGACATAAGTTTCTGTCAATTATCATTTTGTTTTGTTTGATATATTCAGAATTCAAACAAGGCAGAAAAAGTAAACATTAATAAAACAAAAGAGAGAAAGAATCATGATAATAATGTTATATTCTGAATAAATAATTAGCTTCATATATCCATCGTTTATCTATTATCGATTGTTTTTGGTTGTTATTGTTGTTGTTGTTGTTAATGATGATGATGACGATGGTGGTGATAGTGATGATGATAACTGATCAGTTTGAACAAACAACTAGGCAACTTTCCAATAAGGTTTCATTGACTGACCCAGATTAAAGACTTCAGGTATATAATTTTTAAGTTATTGTTTTTCACCGTATTGTCATTATAAATCTAGTTTTATGTAGAAATTACAGGTGATGAAAGAGTACAGTTCATATCTTTTCTCCAATGTTTCTATTTTTGCGATAAATTTAATTCAATATGTCTTGCTCATTTTTATTCAGATGATATATAATACAAGCTTAATTCGTATAATATTTAAGAGAAAATAATAACAACATAATGGTAATGATGAATTTGTTGTATTCAGTAAACACTGTTGTGTTCCGATTATATGATAATTTGTGTTTATCTATATTAATATAAAATGTAATTTAAACCAAATCTCATAAAACCGCTTCAACTCAGTCAGTCAGCTACAATGTAGGACTAGGCACATATGTGCAACGGTCCAAGTTGCCATACCGCATTAGCATAGCAAGATGAACATCGGATTCATAGGAGTGTTTGAGTCAGTGGTGGTAATTTATAGAAGAATGATTGCATATAAGGATATAGCACAGGAAGACGGAATTAGTTAATGGAAAGAAAGATATGAAGCGATTTTAATCTCATAGTTTGAGCGAAGACAGAGAGTGTATTCACCGATGCCAGTGTTATCAATTCTGAGCCATGTCATCAAGAGTCTCCAACCATTGATTACGATATTTCACGTGGACCCCAACCAAGTAGTCTGCATCTCCCAAAATGACTCAGATCAGAAGTTAATGACTTCAAGCACTGATGCCATATATTTGGTTTGGCCACACGTAGCTTACTTCAACCATCTCCAACATCGGTTAGCATTGCACGTCGTGGTAATCCGTGTTCAGGCATGCATAACACGAGGCCCAACCATCTCAGTCGATGTAGGTTCACAACCTCATCAACTGATTTACCATCATTCCCTAATACCCTGCGTCTAACCTCACTATTACTTACTGGGTGATCCCAGCAGATGTGAGCAATATTTCTAAGACATCTGTGATCAAATACTAGTAGCTTACGAGTATCTTCTATTCCTAATGACCACGTTTCGCAGACGTAAGGTAGAGCAGAACAAACTGCCACACAGTATACTCGTCCTTTCACTGATAGTTTATGTGTTGAATGGCACTAAATTATGTGTTATATGAATGAATTTGTCAATACTTAGGTTTGTAAACTTGTATGTAGATACATTTGGTAGATTGTGTTTTAAAATGAATTTCAAAAGGATGATACTGTATGTTCTGTATGAGGATTAGTTATTGGAATAGTGACAATCATGAAAAAATGTTGAGGTATTTTATAGTTGAGTTTGTAAGTTTTTTAATAATTTACTCTTACAAATGGTTACATAGTATGCCTATTCAATGACTCATTGATGATCAGTCTTAAAAGTAAATGAATTTTCATATGAATGCTTTATTCAAGAAAACTATATATAGTTTGTTGATCTTTAATGAATATTTTGAGATTCTTATGAAGATATTTGGCTTACATAGTCAAGCTTATGCAGAAAGAAATGAAGTTTTACAGTTTTACCATGTAGAATATGGTATTTCGCTCTCCACAAACTGAACATATTTTGTTTTTGTTTTAAACTTAATGGATGTTATGGAGTCATTCTAATAAGAGGTTTAAAACTTAAGAAAAAATATAGTTTATCAACGGTCAAACTCGTTTTAACTAATCTCAGTTTGTGATGATAGAATATCTCCATAGTAAACAAGTTTTCATGAACATACTTATTCATTATTAAAATTTGGCACTATTCAAGTGATTTCACGACGAAGAATAATGAAAATTACGATTATTTTCATAGACGTTTACGCTTATACTGTACTAAGCATTAGTTCAAACTCATATTAATATTAATAATAACACCATGCTTGTTGGATGGATTAGTGGCCATCTGGAATTAGTAGCCCAGTGGATTAGACATTAAGCGTTTGGATTGAAAGGTACCGGGTTCTGGTCTGGAGGTGAATATCAACAGTGGAATGTTAGAATATCAAGCTGACGATTACTATATCGAACAAAATGGGCATTTTGGATTCGATTGTTAGCCAAAAATCCACCTATTCTGCAAAATACTTCATTATTACGTCTTGAAACATTTCTTAGCATGTACTGAATTCACATGTTAGCTGTTGAAAGCTAGACAGTACTGTAAAGTAGTATCCACTCGTGACCCCTTTATAGGACAAACAGAAAACCTTCAGGTAGCATCTTGAGTTCATGACATCGATGCTTTGGAATCCAGGAGTTCCCATTTTCGACTTTCGATAAATGAACGACCATATATTAATTCGTTGACAATGATATACCTTTTAGCATTTTAGAACCATAAAATAATATGGTGTTCATTATCATTCGTAAATTGTGCTTAATCACGTACTGCTGTACACCTTTGATTTTGCATTTCTATTTTTAATTTTGTTCATAGAAAACTACAAACTGAACTAAAACATACTGAGCAAGTTGTTAAACGTCGTGTTTCACTATCAAATCAAGATGTTACAAAGCAAGTTTATTGTTGTTTACTCTGTGGACAAACTCCATTACCAGAAGGTCAGTATTCTGGACAAGACTGGAAAGTGTGCCATGATTGTCAGAATAATCTGTGCCCAAACTGTGTAGTACAGATTGGTAAAAATGTTGATTCTGTAAGTCTAACACCTTTTTCAGTAAATACATTATCTTGTGATGGTTGGTTGTTATTGTTATAGATTGTTATTATCATGATGCAGAATGCCTTCGATAGACACAGTCGGTAGATTGCAAAATAGCTTTTGAGGCTTAGTCTAAAAATTGTCAATGGGGCTTTCTTTAGTTTTGTAGAAGCTTTGGCTGTTAGAAAACTCAAACCTTCTTTATGTACACATAAATTGTTTGTTCTAAACTTAAATTTACTCTGTTAGTTTTTGATTCATTTTAAGGCTTATGATGGTGTAATGACTTCTTATTCTACCTACTTAAAATTCATTTTTGTTTCCTTTATTTCCAATTATCACTTTATATTTATGGAACTTTGAATCAACAAAAAATTATTAGTTTATAGACAAAAGTGTCCTAACAGATTGAAACGTGTAGTGCAAATACACCGTATTTTTTATCATCTCCATCTTCTCACTATACGATCGAAATAACTAGATCAAGAAAAAATATTATACACATTTAGAAGGTGTAAGACTGTTTAGGAGTCAAGAGAAGAAAGCATTTATGATAATGTTTTTTTAACAGTATAGGGTTATGGAGATTGTTGAGTCTAGATTGATATCATGAATGGATCAATGTTAGACCATCATTGAAAACCTGAAAACACTGGACGGCCGTATTATCTTATTATGGGACTCCACATCATGTTGGACTCGAATTCAAGATCTGCAGTCTCACGTGTGAACGCCTAACATCTAGACCACTGAGCCGGCCGGCATCCAACTGGGTTAATGTCTCACTTCAACCAATCGATAATATTGCGCGATCTTCGATCGCTGTCTTCAGTGGGTAACTGCCCCACACGCGACACGGTTAGACTGCACTGGTCAAGGCTCCTCACTAGAACTCCAGGAAGTTCATCGTGAAGCCGGTGTTTTTTTATTAATTCATATGACGTCTATATTTATAAGAGGAAAATTTCACTAGAAATCATTTTATTCTCTGTATCTCTATAACTAGCAACCAATGAATTTATGCAAGGTTACTAATTCCCAGGTCAAATATTTTTATATTTCATCAAACGGAATTCATTTTGCAAGTAACACTGTGCACTAAGGTTGAGGGTAGCTCGGTATATGACACACGTTTTGCATACAATTCTGCTAATAAAACTTTACAAGCATGTGAATGTTTTATAGTTTTAACTCAATATTCTTGAGTTAATTTCACATGTAAGTAGTTAATACAAGAAGATAGATATCTTAGATATTTTGCTGATAACCATACTATTTTACGTCTGTACAATGGAATTTAATTATACGCTACGAACTATATGTTTCCTGAAGTTGATACTTAGATTTTGTTTTTTTACATCACATTTTGTCTAGGCCATATGAGAACTACGAAACTTTGTGTATAAATGTGTTAAACATCTTCAGTTAAATGGACGTGTCACATTGTAGATAAAAAAGAAAACGATGTGAATAAACGACTACTATCTTCATGTTATTTTCTCCAACATAGATGCTATACGAGTTTAGTTAAACTTACCTACTTACTTACGCCTGTTACTCCTCGTGAAGGAGCATAGACCACTCACCAGCATTCTCCATCCAACCCTGTACTGGGCAATCCTATCCAGCTCCTTCCAGTTGCAATCCATCTTTTTTATATCTGCTTCTATTTCCCGACGTTATGTGTTCTTTGGCCTTCCACTATTCCGCTTCCCTTCAGGATTCCAAGTTAGGGCTTGCCTCGTGATGCGGTTTGACGATTTGCGTGATGTATGTCCTATCCATTTCCATCGTCTTTTCCTAATTTCTTCTTCAGCTGGAGGGTGGTTTGTTCTCTCCCACAAAAGGCTGTTGCTTATGGTATCCGGCCAATGCATGTTGAGTATCTTGCGTAGACAACCATTTATAAATACTTGTACCTTCTTGATGGTGGTTGTTGTAGTTCTCCAAGTTTCAGCTCCGAGTTTAGTTAAAACTTGAATAATATTAATTTCAAAATTATATTTTGTTACTTTCTTTTCATCGCCATACAAGCGACTATGTTTAGTTATTTTGAATTATTAACATAATTAAAGTTAAAACATGGTTTTTAGAAATATTTGGTATGATGGTTACAAAATTATTTAATATTGGACTAATGGAAGTTAAGCTTATACACTGACGAATTCAGTCTAATGATCTAGAGATAAAGTGATAGATCCACTCTTGGTGTGATTAGTGGATGCACACTGTTGAGTAGTTCCATACTAGGAAAAATGGCTGTCTAATGCTTTTAAGCTTCCAATAATTGCTTAAACTTGATTAGTTCGAGATTTTAATGAAATTTAGGTTAGTTTTTATTATGTGTTGTATCAAAATTCAAGAGATTAAGAAATAATCTATATTTAATTTGAATTCATTAGATTGTACTCATTCATTAATTGAAGAGTAAAGGAATAAGAATAAAGGTTAAACTGTCTTTTGCCAAAACATATAAATGTTAACCACATACCTGTTTTTTTGAATAAGACTTCGAATTTCCATCTCTTCTTTGAATTTTAATAAGGTATAGCTAAGTTGTTTATTGATTAATTTGAATATATTTGTTCCATTAAGGTGACGTGAAGTTGAACTTCGTAAACTGTTTGTCATTGAATAATTAGGTTCTTGTGTATGTAGATGACCGTATTTCTATTGTTCCAATCAATAACCCATTGAATGTACATGTAGATTAATATATAAAGTTGGTGACGTGTGACGGATATTCATTTACCTTTATTTGTGTTATTGAGTTTGTGAAAACAATTTTACTTTTGGGAATATACTTTTTATAACTGACTTTAGTTTCCAAAATAGTTTTTCTTGTGTGATTTGGTCACCTTCGATGAAAACCAATTGTATGAAAACCCATTTTCTCTTTAGGTTCGTAGACATTTTACCATAATTTCTTTATAAATACCTAAAGATATTTATTTTCTGGAAGGTAAATATCTATTATTACATATACCATTCCAAGATTTTCTAGCAAACATCACTTTCTCATGATAGTTTAAGGAGTATAAGTTATGAACGTTTACACATTGATCCCTTTATGTTTCATTTACAATATATCATTGACAGGTTTTATCATTTCTTTAAAGATTGCCGAGATCTAAGAAATAGAATATATATTCTTTCTTTCTTACTTTCAATAAGCGTATATACATAATTAATGATTAACTTCATTTATAATGTAAACAAATTACTGTTTATAGATTATTCATTTGTTCAAGTTGAAAGTTTTGTTAATAACTGAATATAACTAAACTTATATATAAAGTGAAATGAAAGTTATTCAATGTAATGAATTTATTATATACTGTAGTAATTAATGTTAGATCTATTTTCTTTAAATCAATTTTGTGACTATAAATAATCAAGAAACTAGCCTATATCAAATTCATATTCCACTGATTGAAATAATGAGTCAATTAGAGCTAGACCACCATGGAAAACCTGGAAACACTGAACGGCCGTTTCATCCTAGTATGGGACTCCCCAGAAGTGTGCATCCACGATCCCGCACCCCGCGAGATTCGAACTAAGGACCTATCAATCTCGCACTCGAGCGCTTAACCATTAAACCCCTGGGCCGGCGTCCAACGGTGTTATTATCTTACTTGTAAGCAGCTGACGAGAACCCACGAAATATAATGAATTCATATCATTCTGCATCAATATTTGTTCTGGCTTTATTAAAATTCATAAACGGAATTAATTGCATGAAAGTCATTGTCCTAACTTATTCAGTAAGGATGTCTCTAACAACTATAATATTTGATGTACATGGTAATAAGTATATTCAACAGATAAATACAAATTATTATCATTAATAAAACATTAAAATCAATCTAAAAAACTGTTAAAATTAGAAAATCAATAAAGAGTTTAGGAAATGATGCAGATTAGCACGAAACCTGGGTCCAGGGTTTCCTGTTGACTACCTTCAACCACCATTTAATCTCAACATATTGTACGCAATGTCGAGTCACCTAGTCTAGCGGCCACATTGCAACTTGGTCAATAGCATTCGATCTGCACTAGGTAGAACTTGACACACATGACATTGATCACCACTTGCTGATCAATCAATTATGGTTTTCTCATTTATAGGCATATGTTTGCTCTAATTTGATTGATACTATTTACAGTGAATATTTTAGGATTCTAAGTAACTTGTAATTGGTTTTAAACTGATAATATATATATATATATCAGTATATGACATTCATTATCTTAGTTCACATTATAGATATGGTAATAATCTATAAAGTCATTGATTATTGGACTGAGCAATGTTGGTAGAACAAAGATTACTTGATCAAGGTCAATTAGTTAAAGACTTTGGATAGCATAGATCAAAATCAGTTGCAATGGAGTAGATCTATTTCCCCATTCTTTTAACTCACATCTTAAGTTTTATAATTAACTTATTTTGAGAGTCCTTTCTTTTTCCTTGAATCATATTGTACCTATACCTAATGTTCTTATTAACATTAAGATTATTATACATTTTACTATTCAGCCGTTTTTCTTGATAATTTCATCTCATTGTGTTAATATGGTGCAATAAATTGAACCGATGAACTCATGTGACATGTTCTACTCACTTGATATTGTTTTACTTGAATCTTCCCATTGATGTTTTAGGACTGAAATTGATCAGTCTCTTATTGGCATATGTGCATACTGTGCGTATGCCTTGATATTGACTCAGTAGCTAAGTGGATAACGCGATGGCGTTTGAAGCGAACGGTACTGAGTTCGAGTCCCAGAGTGAACATCAACTCTGAGATGCAGGTACATCCAGCTGACGAGTCCCAAACAGGACGAAACGCGCGTCCTGGATTCCACTGCTGGCCCTATCCATCTTTGCTTATGACATGTTCTGCGTTACTTATGATTGACTGACTGACATCGCTAACTAATTATAGCAATAGAATAATAGAAAATAAGGAAATACTGAATAGCTACTT